TTCATGTGGTATTTTTAAAAAATCATTTCATATTATCGTGAAAGGCTTTTTACTTTATTTGTTTTTCAGGATCTCTCTCTAATTCAGATTCTGGGGATGATAGTGCTGAAAAGACTTCCAAATTAAGTGAACCTTCCCAAGCAAAAAAAATAAGTAATGCCCGAGAGCAAATAATGCAATTAAATATTTTGCTTTCCTTGTTATTAACATTTCTGTGAGAATTTGAGACCTCAATGTATGTATGTGCTTGCATAGGCATCCATGTATATGTGTGTGTATGTGTAAAAATACTGTGAATAGAAAAATGCCAGGTTTTCAAAAGGAAAGTGATCAATTATTTAAGGATTATTTCATTAGAGAATATTCACTTTATTGTTATATCAGCTTTTGACTAATATATCATAAAACGTATGTTTGGCTGATGTAATAAAGCAGAATCCAGTGACAACTAGGATACCAGTCATCTAAAATACCATTCATTTCATTGGGACAGACTTCAAAGTCTCACTTAATAGGTTTAGCTCCAAATCCACTACTGGATTCAGGCCAGTTGAAATAAGTCTTCCTTTCCCTTCTTTTGTCTTTGGGGCTTCTCTAGTGTTCAGCGGGACTTTTGCAGCTTTTTTCCTTGTGGAATCAAACACCTCTTCTGGCACAAAGAAGAGTAATATATCACAGTAAATGGTTTAGGACAATAGATACGTAAAGCTTTTGATTTCAAAAGATTAGGAAATGGAAACATGTTCTGCAGGAGCATTAACTGTATATCCAATTTTACTTCTAGTTTTTAAACTGATGGAATAGAATTCAAATTACTCCCTTTTGTCTTTAATATTAAAACTATTTTTATGCTTTAAATTTTGTCACAATCATCATACCTTTCAGTGGTGTCTGTAGTTGTCAGTGTTTTTTTTCCTCCTGTGTGTCCATGTGTTCACTATTTTTGTCAAAATGCCAAACTCAGAATCAATGACTTTATGATTATTTCAATGTTCAGTGCTATTTATTTGTTTGGCTTCTGATAATAAATTCACAAGTTTGACCAGAAAAAAAACCTTTGAAGCTTGTGGCACAGGGGCAGTGTTGTAATTGTCTTCCTTTGGAAGCCAGGCTTGGCTTGACCAGGAACTAGGGCAGAGTTTGGTATTATAGGAAGGGAAGAAAGGCAAAAAGTGATCAGAAATCGTATTTTGCATGTCGAGGGAAAAAAAGAAACAATGTAGACTTTTAAGTAGTGTTAGTTTCCATAACATTTTACAAAACTGCATTTTTCCAAAACCAGTGTCAGACTCTCTTTTGGCTGAGATGAGAATGAAATTTCTGTAGTGTTTAAAACTAGAAAAGTCTCTCAACTTTATGATTATTCAAGTTAATGATTGACATTTAGTATGTATTCTAGTAGTGAATCTGAATGCATGAGAAATTTTTGAATTTTAAGCTAGTTTTGTCCATGATTGTCATCACTCTTGATGTTGTAATTTTTCCTTTTTAAATTTCACTCGTTTGCTGAACAGAGGGCTTACGCCCACCCCAATTCAACTGCAAAAGCTAAGACCTTAATTCATTAATCTCTTTTTAAATGCTTTTGTATTTCCCCTTGCTGCAAACACATCTAGAAGTGAATCTGATACATTCACACTAGTGAATGATTTTACTCTTGTCTGCAGTTGCTGTCAAATTACTTGTGTTCTTTCTTTTTTTAATTGAAAATTGTCAAGCTAATTTTCATTTTAAATATAATTTACAGCAAACTCCTCCAACTTGGAAGATTCTGAACAGGCAGGTATAGATCCTCTGATTGAAGCAGCAATAAGGAAGATGAATAAACTAGACACAATATTGGCAAAAAAACACTTGAAAGAGAGAGCAATTAAAAAACAAGGCAAAGAAATGAGAGCAAAGCTCTGGGAAGAACTTCAGGTTAGAAATATACAATTTAAATAACATAGTCTATCTAAGAGTACGTCTGTTATCTTCCATAATTGTCGCTTTCAGTGGATTTGGATTGAGCTGTGTATTCATTACAGCATTTATTTACTGAATGAAATGTACCTCTGCATAAAAGATGGTGCATAACAGAGACTTCCAAGTTTCATTATGTCAAAACTCAAGGGCATATTCCAGTAGCCTCAGGAAGAAAACAAATTGTTCTGATATGGTTTAAAGCCTGCTTAATTTCTGTTTTGAAGTTTTTATAAGCAGACAAGGTATTTTGCTGCAACTTTAAATGAATACTGTATATATTTATGCTTTATTTCCTTTAAATAGTCTGTCAGTACTTCTGGAAGTCATGAGGAGATAGAAAACACAAAACACTTTTTAGCTTTAATCTCATCCTGGCAGGATACAGCTGGTAAGTGAGAGACACAAGTGAATACCCTGATATGATTATCCTGTATTTTCAGCATGTTTAGGCAATAACCAAGGAAATTAAAACTGTTTTGGTAAACAGAAAAATCATGATTACTAATGTATCAGGGATGTTAGTGAAATAGATCACCAGGCTGCAGTACTTGGTGTAGGAGGGGTGGGCAATTAAAACATTTTAATAGGAGCTCTAGGGATGTTTTGGGCCTCTCATATATACACGGGAAAATATTTTCAAGTGTAAAGAACAAACCGAAGGAAGCAACGGCAATGCCATGGTAAGGATCTGATAATATGACTGTACCAGAAGAAGAGAAAGGCAGACTCCAAGGGACTGCCAACAGATTCAGTGACAGAATGGGACCAAATACTGATACCAGCTACTCGGTTACATGTTAGAAAACAATGAAGGAGGATGCATATGACCCAGCGTGGGTGGGGGAACTGCACTGAAACCAACTGCGGGCATCCTGCTCCCAGTGTCTTGACTATTTGGACATATGTGCATACTAATGTAGCAATGTGAAGTGAAAAAATAAGCAGAAATAAGCAAAACTTTAGTGTGTGTGTGTATATGTATTCTGTGCTTAAGTTTTGTTTATTAAGAGAAGAGCACAAAATTTAACTTGGTAAGAATGATATATTAAAATTGCCCAGTAGGTGTCAGCATGTAATTAAAAATAAATGGGGAGGGGGGTAGACGTCAATAATGCACACAATTGCTAATGAACTCTGTGCTTCTTTTCATTGTTCTTGTCAAAGGTTACCCTGTGCCCCAGTGAACGCATGTCGTATGGGCTCTAGTGTGCCATGCTGGCATCATTCTGCATAATTTAGATATTCCCCCCCCTCACTGGGTCTTTGTCTTATTCTTTCTATAATATGGTAGCGGTGGATTTCTTGGGTCTGCATTTTAAGGACTGATAGTGCCAATACTTGCCAGACTGATAATGAAATGTCATGTAATTCATACACTTTGCTTTTCAAAGCTTGAATTTGATACAGAACTTTTAAAATATATTATCTACAATATCGTTGATTATAATTGTGTATAAATACATATAACATTATGATAGACATATGTAATTGTTATAGAGCTCCATAATGAAGTATATATTATTTGATAATTACCTTTTATACAGATAGATAATTGTAATTCTTAATGTGGCTATGATGCCAAAAAAGGTTCTGAATAAAAAATCTTTAACTAATATATCCCAGCCACTTGGAAAATTCTGACATGCCTGTGGGAGAAATGTAAGTCAGAAAAACCCATGTTTTCAGCTGAGTGTGTTAAGACTTGTTACTACAGGCTCTCTCTCTATGTGTGTGTGCATATACATATGTGTAGTTTTTTAAAAGCAAAATCAGAGGTATATGAAACAGTATGAAGAGTTCTTCTGTTACCTGTTCATACTGATGAAACACACACTACTCTTTCACCTCTATTTCTTGAAAAATATAGTGGTGGTGTAATTTATCTAAAAAGAGAAAAGTAAATTTCTGTAACTTGTGTTTGTGAGATTTTATAGAATGATATAAGTGAAACTAGGTCATTTTTAAATGCGTTTTAATTAAACTGTACTGAAAAATTTCTTAACAGAGCCCTTCCATGTTAAAGAAGATGAAATATGTATTTCAGTATTTCACACACAAATTAATCCAGAAGATTATGATTGTCATAAAAGCCATCATAATCACGGTAAGCTTTATTAACTGTATAACTCTTATTTTCTGATATGACAAAACAACCTGTGAAGTGGTTGGGTGATGATGACTTTCCCTTCATGGCTGAGCCAAGAAGTCAGAAAAAGTAAGTTTGGCTGTTGCAATGACAATCAATATCTCTCACTTTTTGAAAAGTGATAAAAATGGAAAAACTTTGTAGGTAACCTAAAGCATTTTATTTAACATGATATAAAATCTTTTCAAAATAATGAGAGTTGTGCTTTTGTTTTTCCCCAATTTGAAATGTGTTTTTTCACAGTTAACTATTTTGTCATATGTGACATGACAGAAGAGGTGGCTTCCGCTGCCATTGCTGTCAGCTGCAATTGCTCAGTTCTTTAGTCTACCATTTTATGTAAACAGAAGTGATCTAACTCTGGTGAGTGGCCAGGACGACAAAGACACAATGATCGAGTGTTCCTGAGGTGTGAACCACTGATGGCAGAATGTGACTTGACTTTATAGAATGTGACTGCGTGTTTTATCTTTCAAGTCATGACCCCAATCCCCTTTCCATTCTTATCCACCTTAGTCCCCTGGTATGTGCTCTTCATTCTTCCCTAAATGGAAACTTGACCCTTAGGCTTCAAATTTCACAGGTTTGCTGCAGTGTCTTTGCAGCTTTTGATATCTGAATTCAGGGCACCTACACAGGTCCGGTTGGGAGCTGCTGTTGCACATGCAATTTTGAGGTGATTTACATGAGTTTGGGAACTCATGAAGCAGGGGCCACTTGTAACTCATGAGCAATAAAGTACTTACATGACTTACTGATTCTACTGAATACTCTTGATGTGCTGTCTGATTTCTAAAAGCTTTTTTTTTTTGATTGCTCTTGGATTTTTGTGTAATACTTGTCATAAAAGGTAGGGCCTGAGCAAGAGGAGTTGACGCACTGTTGGCTACGCTATTACCTAAGCAATCCCACCGGGATGATCTCTAATGTATTCCTTGTCACAGTAACCTGTATTGGTCCCTTCTTTACTTGAATGATCTGAGATACTGTGTACCATGGCTCCCTCTTAAAAGCGCTCCTGCTACAGGTAGCAGAAAGATGTAGTTTAAAAGCAAGTTTCATACATGCTGCATGTTATGTTCATATTCTGTTTGCTTGTTTCAGGATACAACTCCTCGTATTCATATTTATCCGTAAATTCTTAGATGATTCTACTTCCTAGATAGATTCAAGGTCTTTTCTTTCTCTGTTACGTGATAATATCAGACAATTTGGGATGTTTTCCTGTGAATAACTGAATTTGTACAGTGACAAGGGATTTTTTTGGTGGTCAGGTCCCATGCTTCAAACTCGTTAGAGTTTGCTTGCAATTTCAGAGCAAGATTCAAGAGAACGTTGCGCAATTTTTGTCCATGGTTTGTAAAAAGGTGCACTGAATTTATTCTATACCTTTGAACATACTAAAAGCAAACTCTCAATCTGCAAGAGGGTTGCTTTATATATAAACTGTAAAAGAATGAGCTGCTATGTTCTATCATCTGTTTTTCAGCTGTTTAAAAAAAAATGGACTTGATACATCTCCAAATAGTTCTGTGGTTTCTCCAAAAACTATTGTCTGGTTTTGTACTGATGATAAAACTGAAACAATGAGAGGATTAGAAGGAATGTCATGCCTTTCAAAGCCACCATGTTTAACATTTTTGAGGTCAGAAATCCTAAAGTATTTTAGTCTTCCTAAAGTTGTATGATCTCGTATAATAAAAGCTCAAAAAGAAGAGATTAGTTTTTGATAATTATGCTTTCAATATAGCAATACAGTTAATAAAAATACTGAAAATGGCACATCAGAAGTTTGTATATCCACTTTACATGTTTATTAGAGATTTAAAATGAATTATTATTACAATTTTGATTGAATGAGAAAAGGAGTGGTCTAACTCTGCAGCTTATTTTTCAAACTTCAGATTGTCCAAAGGAAATAAAAACAAACGAATTTCTGAATCTGGCAGAAAAAACACACAATAAAAGCAAAAGCAGTCAGGATTTCATTAAAAAGAATATTGAGGTAAGTATTACAATGTAAAATCCTTAGCTTCTCTAATTCAGTGTTAAGTGAAAGCGTAGTATATAAACAGTTTCTTTATCAGGAACATTGAAAGCAAAATCTTCCTGCTAAGTTTTGTTTATTATTGCATACAGCTGTATATTGCAGTCCTGATCTCAGTGCTCATGTTTGTAGGGTTAGGATAATACTCTTTTTTTATGTATTTGCAGAAAAGTAATGAGAATTGAATTGTTTGGACACAGATTGTTTTGAGGACAAAGTATTTCTTTAAAATCTTTCTTTAAATATAGTAAGTGGTAAGTGAAGAGAAGCCATTCTTCTCTGTAGATAAGAGCTAGGTAAGTTTTTCATGGGCAGCCAACATAGGACCCTCATCTACAGAAAATCTATTAGAAAAAATAGATACTCTGACTTCTGTGCTTTTGTTTCTCTAAGGCTGTAGTAGCTATAATGATTTTTTTAATCAAAAAAAACCCCTATGCATGTGTCTCCAGGGCATTAAAATTATGATTTACACTTAGGCTGCTTGTCAGAGTGATAATTTGATAATTTGTATTACAGCAATAAGCAAGATAGATGTTAACTTCAGAATTTAAAACGTTGGCATTTGAGTGAATATGATTCTAAAGACTTTTTGTTTGTTCATTTATTTGTAAATATTTCAGCTAGCAAAGGATTCGGGAAACCAGGTTGCTTTGCTTGAGGAAGAAAAGAAAAGGTTGATTGAACTATTGAAAGATACAGGAGATGGAAGTGAATTGCAGGGTCTTGAGGTATGGAGACTTTGATTTGTGCTGTTCTGTTGTATCTGGCTTGCTTTTAACGTAAATCTACATTTGATTTTTAGTCTCATCATGACGTGACCTACTGTGGTAAGAGAATAGCTGAACGAACCTCATTGGATTTATCTGCACAAATGAACTTTTATTGACTTCTTTGTTCTCTTTACCAACACTTGAAAGTTCTCAGGGCTTTGAAGAAAGGAATTTCAGGAAAAATTAGGTGCAGATGGAAGGAGCCTTAAAGAATGCTTAGAGAAGATGGCCTATTTCCTCTGCATAAAATGTGAGGATGCCTCCTCCTAACCCAAGTGAATTGCTGGTGTAATCTGTGGTAGAAGTCGCAACAGTTACTTCAAAAAAAAAAAAAAAAAAAAAGCTGAGCCTAAACAGGCTAAATGCTAACTATTAACACTAAATTAAACTAATTTATATTTAAACATTTTGTAGATGTAGAATGCTACTCTTTGATAACATCTCCCTTACAGAAGGGAAATTCAAAGGTAGCTTTTGTGACGTGAATTGCACTTACTTAGGCTTGATGTGCATGTAAAGTGTCTTCTTCCCTCAAATTTCTTATTAACGATTCAAATTTCTTATTAACGATCTTCCTTATAATGAATTGATTTAACTTGGAGATTGCAGTGGTGTGATGCAGAAAGAACGAACAATTCCAGTAAGCGAAGCTGATGTAGTTGTATGAGTCTTGGTCAGTGCTTTCCTGCTGTGCCTCTGGAGTAATGGGGCTGCCCAGGGATGACTTCACAGCAGTGGTATTAGAATCATAGAATCATAGAATGCTTAGGATTGGAAGGGACCTCTAACATTTTCCAGCATGTACAATTCATGCAATTTCTAAGAGATAAAGCTGAGTGCATATATTTTTAAGTCTACTTAAGTTGCTGCTTGGTTATATTTAGAAGTGAAAAGCATGCATCTAACTGCTCAATGAATACCTGCTTCAAGGTATGCTTGGCACATGAGTATTGAAAGCGTTCCTCTATGTGATGAGAAGGTACATTTTATTCTTAAGTCCAATTTATTAAAAAAATGCACTTTATGTGTAACTGCCTTCAAAACCCATTTCCTTTGGGGATGAAGAGTAAGTTTATTTTTGTTGTTGTTGTCTTTTTTTTTTCTTTTTCAACAGGAAGATGCGTCCAGCTGGCTAGTACCGGGAGAAGGGTACACACCTGAACCAATGGAATTTCATCACCTGAGTGAAATAGATGTTAAGCTTCAAGTGCTGTCTAATGGGCATTTCTCTACGAGTCACAGCTCTTGCTCAAAACCCCCAAGGCAGATTTATCAGGTATGTTAAAGAACAGAGTCTGTGTTGCATATTCTTTTTTGAATTTATCCATATTTCATATATCATATTCCAGTAATGTTGTCTGCTACAACCTAGGTGAAATAAAACTCATTGTCACACTTATTTGCACAAAATTTTTGTAAAATTTTGTTTTGTAAAACTCCCAGTTTGTAACCAGGACAGGTGTATTTGAGGACGCTCTTACATGACCTCTGTTATCTCCTTATGTGTGGGACATTTTCAACAGCTAAAATAACTGATTTTTCTTTTTGCTTTTTAACGGTAAGTTTATATTGTGAGCTTCATTTTAATGTCACTTTTGTATTGAATTCTTTATGGACTTACTATTTTGTGAGAAATGAAAGAGTTTGAGAAGGATTTTGGTGTTGATCGTTTGCCACCTGAGCTTTAATGTGTGAACCAGAACTCCCTCTAGTGGTTCGCGGATGTGAACTTGCAAATAACTGCTGGGTCTCAGTTCGCCGTGGTGAAAGGCATCCTCGGTGTTGATGCCGTTGCTGTGATGAGGAACACTTGTTCTCTTTGCTTTGGGAGCATTTGTCCAAAAGTTAGTATCACTTCCTTTTCAGATAAAAGCTCTGAAATATTTGAATATAAACTTGCATTTACGTGTATGCCTACAGAAGAGTAATTGTTACCTTTCTGAATAACACTAAATCGCTGAAAAGAGTTAATTCCAGAAATCACCCTTCAATATTTGCCGCCAGATCCCTCTGCTGCCTGCACTGCTGGTTCTGCACACGCGCCGTGCGTCGTTCCTTGGGAGCGGGCTAGATCCCTGCTGGCCGCCTCGGGATCTGTGGCAGGTGCCAGTGCCAGGGCTGGGGAAGCGGCACCGGGGCCGCCTCGGTGTCCGAACTTGCCCGCGTTCACATGTTGTCACGCTGCTGTCCTTTTGGGCTGGTGAATGAAGGAGAGAAGAGTTGTGGCAACTTTTGTGAGCTTCACTGCTTTGTGCAGGAACTTTTTACTAGATCTGGCCTTTAGTTTTGCACTCTTGGCTGCAGTGTAATTTGTGTTGGTGCCTAAATAATTGCTATTCAATATATGGCTGGAACAATAACTTTAGTTATTGTTAAGTTCTGAATTTGGGTCAGGCTGTGAATTCTCAACCTTTCATGTTCAAACAAAAGGAAGTAATATGTGTCAATAGCTGAAAAATTAATGTTTACTTTGAGTTTATAGAACTTTATGTAAAAAGACATAATATACTTTTTTTTTTAGCGTGTAGCGTCTATGTAGCGTGTTTAGCGCATAATATACTCTTTTTTTAGCGTGTAGTTGATCTATGTCCAGTGCCACTCATCTTTTTCTTAAGACAGCCTTGTCTGTCTCAGTCCTGCTCGCTTTCAGAAAGTTTAAATACTAATTACTGCATGCAAGAAAGAAACCAAGAGAAGAAAATGAAATGGGATAACCGGTTAGCAGTCCTATCCAGAAAAAGGATCTGAAATTAATTGACCAAGTGATGCTTTTGCAAGGAGATCTGCTTTGTGATACGCAAAACAAAGCAGACAGTGGTTCTGACTGGCTGCCCCTTCCTGGGGCTAGTTCCAAGAGTTAAGGACAAGTTTAGTCCTTAAGCAAACTAATGTGGAAGGCTCTGTAAAACCAGTTGGGAGACATTCAAGGTATTAATACAGTGAACTACATATGCAGAAAGAAAATTAGTATATGAAACATGCTATTTTACTTACATTTTCAATATACTTTTGTATTTATTTTCAATGTGTCAAGAATTGTTACTGAACAGAAGTTTAAACAGAGATGTGGATACCAGTTCCTTTGGAGAAGAGTCTGATTTCAGTGGCATTAATCTTTTTTTTCCCTTTTTTTTTTAAGAAAAAAAAAAAGGCATTGAGTTATTTTTCTGGTTTGCAGGATTTCATCTGTTGATGCCAAATAGAATAAATGTATGAGTGATGGGAACGGTAAAGGAAATTGTTGGTTTCTTAAGTCCTCTACTTGGATTTTTATTTTGAATTTTAGAAGTAATTAAAATGAAATTATCTTAGAGTTACATGTCATAAAGATGCTCATTCTTTTCTTCCAAGAACTACATTGGTTATAACTTTCAAAGTGCAGACACTTAAGCACCCTTGGCTTAATGACAGAGCTGCTTCCTGCCCCTTCTAACTACATTGGCAGGGTATAGGAACTATGCTCTGACTCTGAAATCTTTAACAACTGTCTTTAATTAAGCTACAGTACCATAGTTTAGTTGTTACAGAGCAGCATCCATATTCCTCTTCTCTACACTCAGTCCAGCTGGATTCAGACTGCTTTTCCATGACTAATGTTCTCGTTAACATGGAAATGTTCCTCATCAGAACTTTATTTCTCTCCGAAGCATTTCTTTTCTTTTTCTGGTGCCAACTTAATTAAATATTTAAAAAATGCTTTTGTGTTACTCAATATGTTGGGGGAAAACAAATGAAAATAAATGTAATCCTGGAAGAGGTAGGAGAATGGTAGGGTGAAAAATATGAAGTGTAAGACCCAAGTGTGATAAGTACATTTACCAATTTGAAAAAATGGAAAATAAATGAAAAGGGGGCGGTGATTAAAGAAAAAAAATGAACAACATCCATATGCTTGATTATAACTTCTTTAATGTAGCATATTAATTTGATATGTTCTTTTATACCTGAGTTCATTTTATTGGAAAAATATTCCATCTTTCAACTTATAGGAGTAGGATGCAGTTAACAGCTTAAAACTAAAGAATTACTCTAAAAGATAAAAGTTTATGAAGAGACTGTCATGTTTCACTACTGAGCTCTGCCATATACTCCATGTCTCTGCTTGTCCCCAGCAGATAACTTTGGCAGGGTTTTCTACCCCAAGGCATGGCTAGAAGTGTGGTGACAAGCACGTCAGCCTGCCTTGCAGCTTAAGGAGGTTGGAAGGCACCAATGTGCTTCATTAGGGTGGCTTTGGGTTTGTTTACTTTTAGAGCTTTGAAGAAAAGGGAGTGCAGCAAATAATGTCAGTTTTCTTCAGATACTGGTTACTTGCATTTATCTGATGGTCATTACAGCTTTAGCTGTTCTAAGGATTTGCATCTTCCTGTGTGTTCCCATTTTAGATCTTTATAATATCTAATGAAATCCCATTACTTTTACCTGCTTCAGTTTTGTAATAACTGGAACAAAGTGTTTTGAAACTTTGACAGTAACATGTTTTTCATGCAGTAATACTTCCTACTTTTATTTAATGCAGATTTCTTGAGAAAAAATATTAGAGAATGAGTACATTACAGGGAAAGGCCATTACTTTGTTCATCTGGTGTTACTATTCAGAGGTGAGAACTGAGATTGCAAGAACTAATTCTGTTCTGTCAGCAATTTAAAGCTTCATAGTTGTCAAATATTAAAAAGATTATTAGGAACATTTCTGAAAGGAATACAGAATGAAGCAAAATGCCACTGTGCTCCTGTATAACTGTGTGATGTACTGTACTTGACTATTGCACCATGTGGTTCCCATAGCTCGTAAGTGGTGTAGAAGAAATGGAAACTGGTTACCAGAAGCTGAGGAGCTTGGAGTGCGCTCGGTGCAAGTCTGACCTGCACAGGGAACATCCTTCACTTTGCAAGAGTAGGAGAGGATGCCTGTCTGTTTGCCTGAAACTGTTTAGTGGACCGGCACAGAGATCTCTATAAAACTATTTCAGGAGAAATATGTGGAGAATTTGAAGGTGAAAACTGGGTTGTATGCCCCCTGTCACTGCCACCTGTTTAAATCTTGCTGGTATTGTAGTAATAATATTTTTCCAGAGATGTTTTCCGCAATTTAAGCTGTGAGTTTATATAAAAGTGCCAATCTGTAGTCCTTGCATACAACTCCCAAAGCAAAATAGGGATAAGTAATACAACATCTAGTGAGTTCTTAGTACTGCTAATTGCCTGCTCTTGTAGATGCATTCATAATACTGCTTTTTAAACCCAGATCTTTAATGATGGTTGTGCATTGACTTATTCATTGCATTGACTCGCTTCAACTTACAGAGAGAAGGTATTTTTTTTTCTCTTTCACCAGGAGGCTCTCTAAACAGAACCCAAGTTCATTTTGGCCTCTTTCCTCCTTTTCCATCTGCAAGCTGCCAGCAATGGCCTAATTTTTCTCACAGTATGGTGAATAGGAGGCAGCTTTGGAACTCCTCCTTCCACTTTCCTGACGCTCTCTGCATTTGTACTGTTGTAACAGAACTTGCTCATCAAGCTTACCTGCTGAGGTTATGAAATTTCACTTCCAAAGTGATTATTGTTTTATTGAAATAAATTCTTCCTTATGCTTATCTACTCTGTTTAAAAATATACTTAAAAATATACTGAAAATTATGCATTTGCTATGTGGGAAAACAACATTGTTCTAAACACTTTTTTTTTTTTTTTTTAAGAAAACGACACTTCTGGGGGGTTGAAACAATATAAAATCATATATTGAATTTATGCCTATTCCTTCTTTTGTAAGGAGTCTCTGGCTTATGCAAACAGAAAACTAGAAGCAGTTCCAGGTGAAAAAGTTCTGCGATATAATAAGGAGCACCGGGACCAGCAAAACCGTCTGAAAGAAATAGACAATCAGCTGAAATCCCTGGAGGAAAGTCTTGTAAGTCTGCCTTTTTATAAATATATATTTGATATATTTTTCTGTCTCTCAATTTATGGAATTTGGAATTTATCATTCCATCTAGCTGTGTAGTAAAATCAAATTCTGCAACCTTTCAAATATCCTGAAGAAATTTATGTAATCTAAGGGAGAAAACTTTTTATTGGAAATTTCCCTAGTCTGGGAAATACATATTTTTCAGTCATATTGTATGATACCCATTAACATAATGTCTTTCAAAGTTAAAGAAATCATTCTCCTCTCTTCCTTCCAGATGGAGTTAACATATTTATATGTGTGTGTGTGTATATATATATATATATAATATATATAAATAGTACTAGTAATATATCTTTAAAATGTTTTATTATGGCTTATGTAACTTAGTGATCTTTAAAGGGCCAGGTAGGTGGTAATATATGGTGGACTCTAAGAGCTGTGTTTAATTTTGCTGAATGAATTCTGTATGTAACTCACCTTTCATGTAGTACATGATTATTTTCAGAAAGTTTAATTTAAAATTGAGAGGGTCCTGCTATTAATCTAGTAGGCAGAAATGTTATTTATTCTTAACTCATGACAAGCCTAAACTCCTGTAATTGTGCGTGTCTGTCACTTCCTGGTCTTTTATTTAGCGGATGTAACTTATTACATTATTCTGAAGTTAAGACTAGGAAACATAACTAAAAGGAATAGTGGTAGGGGAACCTCCAGGATTTGGTATTTTTTTGAATACTTTAATATGAATATATTTTAAAAAATGTGCCATTTGATCTGCACTGAGGAGATTGAGCTCTGGACTCAATTGCAACAGAATTACACGGAACTGGTCAGGTTGCATAAAGGGAATGTGAAATCTCCATCCTTGGGAATTTTAAAAATCTGACTCAGCAGGTCTGTTCTGATATCAGAGCTGACCCTGCTTTTGTTGGGCTAGACATCCATTCCTCAGCCTGTTTTTTCAATTCTAACTGGAAAAAGGTTGGGAATTTCTGTGTGTTCTCCTCTAGTAATCATCATCACCCCTATGTAAGCATTACATGGTGCTGTACAAATTACAGTTTCGTGTATGTACTTGATTTAGGCTTTTTTCCTCATAACCATAAACGTACAAGTTTGCCATGTCAGACCCAAAATCCGTTTAGTCCACCTTGGGCCTTGGGGAGGTCTGCATTCCATAGTGACCTTCTGGAGGAACCAGAGCTGGGATGTGGGCTGTGACAGTCAACTTATTATAGCCCTTAAGCAGGGATCTTGGGTGCAGCTGAAGGCCTCGTGTTTCCGATGGCAGCGCAGCCCCAGGTACAGTGCCGGGTGCTGATAGCTGTGTAGCTGCAGCAGCAAACGCTGCAGCCGCTGTCCCTTAGCAAGCACCTTGGCAGAGCTGGCACTGATAGTGCTGCAACTGAGCAGCCTCCACAGTCAGACCTGTGGCACAATTAGAGCTCGTGTGGGCACAGCTACATGGGCTTCAGGCTTTTGGATGCAAAAAAATGGGACTGATAGAAATGCACTTCCTGGCACCAGTTAATTTTGCGTGTTTGTGGAGTATGGGGGCAAGACAATGGATAGGGAGGCAGGGATTGACTGCTCACTTGTGTGATTAAGACAGCACGTTTAGCTCTTGATCTGTTTACAGTACCAAAACAGCAGTAGGACTCTCTTTTAGTGCATTGCTTTATTTTTGCTAGACAGTCAGAAGAGGGGAGACAAACAGCAATTCTGTGGTACTTTAGTATATCGAAGAAGGATAAACAGATAAAGTCAATCCACATGTTGTCATCTTTTCCTTGCCATTGAATTTTGTATCTGTTCGGTGGCTCCTGGCCTTGCTAATGAGGGGAGCAGCGTGGCAGGATGCAGCAGGCCGGGGGGCCTGGGGGGCTGCGGGCTCGCTCGCCCGTTCTCTGTGTCAACGGGCCCCTTCCAAGGCGCGCTCAGGCGGCGGCAGCACTGCTGGTGTCACGCTGCCCGCAGACTCCTGCAGCATTCCTGGCATTTTTCTGTGCCTGGGGAAGCCTAAATGTAGAAGCCCATGGTGTTTATTCCCAGTGTTCCTGGGCGATGCCAAGGCAGCAGTGCGTAGCTCGTGCCCAGGCTACCTTCGCAGCACACAGTGCCAAGCGCACAAGGACAGTTCTCTGGCACGGCTGCTTTCCCAGGGCATAATATTTCTTCTCATTGGCTGGCACTCTGTAGCAACTGTGAGGTTTTAGCATATGGATATGGAGTATCTTGAATTTTGTCTTCTGCGAGAAACTTGTGTTGCTGGAGGAAATGAAGAAGTGTCTAGCTATGAATGAAAAAAAGGATTTCCCCTCTGATAAAATGTGTGTGTGTATATATATGTATACACACACACACACATATATATATATATATATATAGGGAGAGAGAGAGAGAGAGAAGGAAAGAACGAACAGTGTTTTGGAGGTGAAAGAAGAACAACCTCCAGAAAATAGCACTTAAAAAAAAATGTTTCCTCTAATCAATACCTTTTAATCACAGATCTCTGGAACATATGGATATTACTAGGGAAGACTGCAAGTTAACTAGGAGGCCTTGTTCCCAGGATGAGAATCCCTAAAAACAGGGAGACTTCTCTGCAGCGTGGATTGATGCCTCATTTCTATACTAGAGTAACAGTTTGGCTATCAATTGTGTTAGCAGGAAAACTGCTCTTTGCCAGAAACTATGAGATAAAAAGCTGAACTGAATGCTTGGGAGAGAGGGGGATGACATTTTTCCAGAATAATTTCATTATTTCAGGAAATACTGTTTGCGTTTCAATAGGTGGCACTCTTCACTATATGTCAGTAAGAGGCTGCCTAGGAATGGTTCCATGGATATTTTATTGATGAAAATGTTGCCATTTTTGTGATGTAAAGCACAAATTGTGACAGATTTCCTCTCATTTCTGACAGAACTCCAGATGTGTAACTTCCAAAGGTCACTTTGGTCACAAAGGTCACACTTCCAATTTTTTTCTAGTTTAGCTAACTAAATTGTCTGTTTAAAGTTCATGTTGCATTTAAACTTCTCCCCTACGCCTCTCTCTGCACTACACCTTAGCTCCCATGCGCGGTACGATGTTGCTTCAGCTGGGCCTGTGGCTAAGCATACAAAACAAGGCTGGAAGACAGACTTTAATGTACTTTAAAATCTTCATATAAAGATCAGTCAATATGCTCAAGTATTGTGCTTGAAATAATGAAAGTGTGAGGGCTTTGCAACTTGAGTTCTTCCTTTATTAAGAAAAAGTCCTCAGGGAATTAATATTGCAGGGAATGAATTGTATGCATTGGTGAAATGCATTGTGAAACTTCAATCCAACCTAAATGTATCTGGACTGTTTCTAGGCCTTGTTGAATTTCTTTTAGGTTTTAGTTTGACCTTAGTTCACTTGTTCTTCATGTGAAGCCATGGCTGACTCTCTCCACATTCTTTCATCTTTCAGTTTCCTGGAAACCATTGAGCTTATCTTTGTTTGCTGAGTTGCATTGTTAACTACTGCTTCAGAGAGGAAAAAATGTTCAGCTGCCAAATGCGTGTTGCTGAGCATCAGTGAGAAGAATTTGTATAGAAAGAATAAAAAAGGTAGTTATTTTGTAGGTTTCAACTAGTTGGCCATTTTTGTTAATCCAGTTTGGGTGATATGCTAGTTTCTTCATTATAAACAGTGTATTTAAAAGCATCTCCAAGCAAGCTGTTAGGTGAGATAGGTTCACCTCTGCTGACTGTGGGGATGTTTGGAGGCTGATTCCCTGCTGCCAAAATCTAGACATAAATAGTTGTCTTGCTGTTTCTATTAAATATGTAAATTCAAATCTATTTCAAATCCATGTTAAATGTGTGTATGTGTATATATCTATATATAATGTGTGTGTGTATACATATATGAACCTCTTAGCATGACTGAGGTATGGATACATACTTTCACAAGTGCCTCTGATTCAGTCGCCAAGCGTAGTATATAATTAGTTATTCAGGTCTTTTTGATAAGATGTGGTATGGGGTATGCTGTTCGTTATTTGAACCCTGAGCTTTTCAGGAAAGTGAGCTATTTGGTGTAGGTGGTGCAGAATGAACATCTAAAAGCTAGTAAATATTCCAGTGCTGTCAGGAAATGTTACCTGGAGAAGCTTATTCCAAAAGACAGAGTTGTTTTTCTTCCTGATGCAGAGTGGAGACATTCGTGTGGAAGAAAATCACAGGATTAAACCAACTTTATTTTTTATTCTTTTTTCCTTAATGCTGGAAAAAGTCTTGCATCTACTTCATAGCTTCCCCTGGATCAGGATGATGGGGGAGCATAGTTAATGCCAGCTCCTTTCCTGGAACAGCTTGAGTTCAGTCTGATTCTGTGGCCTGTAGTAGGGAAGTTCTTCAGGAGGGAGAAGCAAATCTTCAGACAGGCAAATTCTAGGTGAATTGAATAATTTGTTCCTGACTTCTACCATAATTCCTTTCTTCCCTCATAAAGGGAAAAAGGAGAAGATGAAGTCCTGTCACACATTTACAAAGTAATTTGTCTAAAATTAAGCGCTCTTGTAATATGATTTTCTATCACGGTGTCCTTTCAGTGATTCACTGCTAAAACTTCTGAAGAAAGGAATATAGACCTAACTCTTTTCTTTTTTGGTTTGCTTTTTAGCAGTCCTTCTAGGTTCTTCCTGTTTGTTGTACAGTAACACTATGAATGTCAAGCATCTTCATTTCAATTTACATAATGCCTTGTTTACTAAGTATGTCTTTATGCTTAAAATCATTTTTTTTGCTAAAAAATATTTTATATTAAATATGTCATTACACCAACTTAAGATGAAAAGGGCAGTATGTTTCAAAATGAAGTTGAATTATTTCATTTTCTGTTTTTTTGGTTTTGTTTTTTCCTTGGAAATTCTTTATGAAGAAGCATTAAAAAATGTTCTTCATGTAACAGCTGCTACACATGTGAAGAGAGCAATGAAACTTTAACAACTGAAAGAGTAAGCTAGTCA